TTCCTTGTGGTCTCCCTTCTTGAATACGAGTACAATAACTCCCGTTCTCCAGTCCGCTGGTGTCTTTCCCATAGTCATCGCAGTTTCACAGACGTGCCTTGTTCGCTTAATGCCTTGAGCATCTACGGGCGGATTTCATCAATTTCAGCAGCCTTTCCAGTTTTCAAGCTTTTCACAGCTTTTGCAGTTTCATGTACATAAATAGTAATATCCGTACCCTTCTGCTCTACAGGCGAGTCTTCCTGCGGTTACGCGGGGTTAAGGATTCCTCAAAGTACTCCCTACATCGCCGAAGAATGTCATCATCCTTGGTAAGAAGTTGTCCATACCTGTCCTTCAAGACTGTAAGACTACCGTTCTTTTCACCTCGGAGCCGGCGGATGATCTGCCTTAAGACTTTGTTTGCCGTGTGGAAAGTCGACTTCAACACTTCACCGAACTTCTCCCAGGAATTGGCTTTGGCTTTCGTCACTGCTTTCGCTGTCGCCTTGCTTACCTGGATATATCGCAAGCGAATAGAAGGCTCTTTGTTTCCAGTGAATTTCTGAAACAGTTTTCTTTTCTTTAACTGCCGGTTGCGCCTCTCGTGTCTACCAAGAAGATCTTTTGTGACCTCCAGGCGGCAGGCCAACCCGTTTAAGTCCGCAGTATTCGCCGGCAGCCTTGAGTATGCTGCTCTTAAAAAGCTGCAACTCGGTTTCCACATCAGTGGTCATCGCCGGGATCTGTTCATACCGTCGTGCGGTGTTGTTTCCAATTTCGGTCTCGTGTCCACCGAAGTCATTGTTTCCCATTTGATTCTCTGGTTTCTTCTGCCACCAGTTCTTCGTATGGTACCCGAGTTTTTACAGCATTGCGTGCTAACTATAAGGTGATGATCGGTTGATAGCTCTGCGTCTCTTTTAACCCGAACATCCATTCCTGAGCGTCTTAAGTCCGACGATACGATTATCTAGTCGATCATCGACTTCGGTGCACAAGCTTCCTTGTACCACATATACTGACGCACTCTTCGATGATCGAAGAAGATGTTCATAATGGACTGTCGGTTGTTTACACAAAATCGCAACAACTTCATGCCGTTATTGCTGAGGTCGCTAGGGCCGTTTTTTTCCAGTCACGCCTTTCCGCTTTTCAGAGTCTACTTCGACTTGCGCATTAAAATCGCGTTTGAGTATGAGGGACTCTGTATTGGGCACTTCCTACAGAGCACACTGTACTTCCTC